CACTTAGTTTTGTACCTCTAGAATTTTCTAACAATGGAAAATGGGTAATCATGTTAAATGTGTTGAATGTTCCTAAGTCTCATAAATGTATGATATGATATGTCACAATCCATCATAAAACTTCTGGCTTATAAGACTATTTTAAATAGCAATGATGATTAATAAAATCTATGTACTACATAAAAAAAGAATATCAAAATTTAGAATCATTTTATTAATGAATTGAAGATGTTATTCTCAAAGTGAAAATGTAACATTTTGGTCTTTCTTAATAGATAAATTGTTGAAAACATGAATTTGTTGAGTTGTGCTTTAAAGGTAAATATACTTTAAACTAGAGATTTAAAATTATAAGTAAACCCTCTTCCAAATTATATTGTCAAATGAAGAATGGAATTGCCAAACATTCTTGTAATAAATCCATGCTAACAAAAGGGATTTTCATTTTCTGAAGTATATGTATTACAACATACTACAAAGTTAACAAATATAACCATTGACATTGATAACAAATCAAAATTTGCTTATCCCTTGCACTTTGGTATGAATATCTTCACTGTTTAGTGTATACTGTCACACGCCAATGCAAATTTATAATAAGTACATGTATCTTTAAGTAATTTCTTTCAAAAGTGGAGCTTGCAAGTTTACAAGACAAGAACAGAGTTGAAATATTTTTGTTGAGATTGGTCTGTAAGTAGATGGTATGTGACGGAGAATCTCGTAATTCTTTATCCTCTCGTTGGCTCTTTCCACATGAATAAGTGCTTTAGCAATCTTGTAACACAGTGCTGCTTCTTGTATGGTAAACTGGCCTCGTGTCGATAAAAGAGCTTTTATAATTAAGCAGACACCCTGGGGCAACTGGTCATGAATGGTGAAACCTTTGACCACCAAAATAAGGTCTCCAGCTTTGAACTTTCGTAAAACTTGGCTGTGACGTACAATAGCTACATCAGAAGTAGAACCTGGGTACAGCATGGAGCAAAATGTAAGTGCACCATTTGGAGGCACGCAAGTTACTGCTTTAAAAGTATGGCAACTTTTGTACATACTGTAGGCCATGGCCTGATTATCCATATGTGTTGGGATGTCCTGGATTGTTTCAATTGCATCCATGGATGCTCTAGCAGAGGAAAAATCCTCAAAAGATTTTGGCAGAGACCCTGAAAAAAAGTTGGAAACAAATTAATTTGATTATTTGTAATTGTGTAAAAAAATTGTGTTACAGTCAATCTTTCAAGAATACAATAAATTTAACTGCATTAAATTTTTGCAAGTCATTATGATAAATTTTAAAACAAACCTTTGCATTTAAGCTGACTTGGAAAACATTCTACGCTACATTCTACACTACGCCATCAGACAGCATCTTGTATAGGGAAAAGTCCACTAATTATTTTCCCATAGAACTCCATACAAACCTTAGGCCTTCTCAGTACTTTACTATGACAATTTCAGAAAAATCTTTAGCATCATTTCAAACTTTGTTCTAAGCCCTAACAAAAAATACTGAAAAAAATACATGGTCCCATGGCGTTTATAGGTCAAAATTGCAGTTATTTTCAACTTTTAGAGATTCGCAGTAAAGAACACGCGGCATAAAAAATCAACCCCCACTCCTAAAATCTTCCCTGGCATTTCTATAGTTTCTGTAATATTCCCTCATCCCATCATTTATTTCAAAGGTCATTAATTTTACTTTAAAATGAAAACAATTAAATACCTGATTTCAGCCAATGGCGTAACGCCTACCCATTCAGTATTCGGTTTAATGTTCCATAACAAACAAAGCCATGTGTGCATCCGGGGATTTGGTGCTCTCATTCCTATACTTACATACTTACCTGTCCCAGAATTAGTCAATTGTGGTAATTTCAAAGACTATACACCTACCTGTGAACATGTATGAAATTTGAGTCCTGTGACTTCAGTGTATTGGATACTGTGACCATCTCAAATGATGACACCTTACTGCTACCAGCACAATTCAAAGGAGTGAATGACGTCTGGGCCGGTGATGATATTTGGATATATTGGTGACTGTAAGAAATAAAATATTTGTACAATGAATTGTTTTTGTGCTTTAATGTTAATAAAGTGATATTAAGTCAAAATTGAGTCAATAATTTCATAAGGGTGGATTCTACCCAGAATTAGGTAAAAAGCTCCAAAATTGGATAAATCGTAGTTAATTAAGCAAAATTCAAAGGTTTTAAAAAGACTGATATAGAATTTTTTTATGCTTATGCAAAGGATATTATTTAAGACTCTGATATACTAATTGATTCTTATCTAATCCCTCCTATTGCTCAAGTATGTACAAAAAAGTTTCCCCACCCCCCAGTGAAAAACGCTTAAAGAAATAGCAGGTGCCCCCTTTTATTTTTGTTTACAATTAATTTAGACAAGTTTAAATCAATCCTTTTGATAACAAATCAAAGTTCAATGTCTGTAGTCTTATACTTTACAATCAGAAGCTACTTTTTGAATTTTATTCTAAGAAAAGGAGAATTTAAATAATTTTTTTTAAAAATTAAAGAAAAGCAAAAACTGACTTCAAACCCCAAAATGTACTATACAATAAGAGGCTGGAAAGTTAATAAATAAAAAATTTACCTGCAATGTACAGAAAACTGTCCGACAAAATACATCGGGTGGGTAGGGAGTCTCCATTTTCTTCTTATATAGAGAAAATGCCCCTGCTGATCAGAGACCTAACACTCCCAAATAATAACAAAATATGTTAACATAACAGTCAATCTAAGATGTTCATCCCTCAATGGCAACAAGTTTTTATTACAGTAACTGAAATTGTTAGGAAATAGGAAATCACAATTGGAATTCCTTTAAATGTACCTTCTCTTTGTTGTATTTAATATCGTGGATTGATATTGGCTTCCTTTTACTAGACTCTATTTTTAGGGCAAGCAATTCCTTTTCCAGTTGTATTTCTGTTGAGAGGCGCTGCATTTCTTGAGTACAGTTAAATGTGCAGGATACTGAGTAGTTGTGCTCTGATATCAACTGAAAATATATTGTAAATCATGTACAGTTAAAAGAACTTTATATATTATTAAAAATTATTGAAAATGTTTCAGTGTTGGTCATTTGTCATCATTGGTGTTTTAAATGAGCTTTACTTTTTCTTGATCTTGACATTTTGGTGCTTGTGGAATCTGCAACTGGTCCATCTGTGAAGATGACAGGGACTCCTCACTTTTGAGTTTTTTCCTCCTTTGTAAAATAATTAAACTTGAATTATTTTTTTATTCAGTTGTAAGCTACTCTGTTTATACATGTACCCTTTTAAAGTTTTTTAGTAAAATATTCTCAATTAAACTCCACCCACCCACCATCCAAAAACAAGATGTCGGTCACATTTTGAAAAATAATTTCACCTTTTTGTACATTCAGGATCAGAGAAATCCATGGCCTTTCCTTCATTCCATGCAAAATATGCAGGGTCCCCCTCCTTCTTACCATCCTTAAAGTGGCAGGAGCAGATGCGATCATTCTGATCTCCTGGTTGGCGATCAGCTCGTCTAAAAATATACATTATACAAAGACTGAGTGAAGGAGAATTAAAAAGCAAAACCTGTTCATTTAGCATGTTATTATCAAATAGCCTAAAAGACTTATTTTTTCATTATTTTTTTTTAAATGTTACATTTACATGCAAGTACAAGATAACCATGTGCATAAACCATGTAAACGGTAGCAGTATTTGGTAGTAATAATACGAAATAAAATGTAATAAAAACAGCTGTTAAACAAAAATTAATCTTGCTACAAATTGCACAGTTTTTGTAGTATGTACTCTTCATTATTCTTCTGCTATATTGATTACTACGAGATTTAACTTTTTAGCATGCATGTATAAATACTGTATCTGACAATGCAGCATCGTGACATATCGTTACAAGTACCTACAAATTTTGTCAATATATCTACGTTTACTGAGTTTTTTCCCTAGCAGGCCGAAATATCTCCATCATGTCACCAGGAACAACACTCGTGCAGCTCGTAATAAGTGCTGCAATAAACAAACTGATGATTGTGTTTTTTCTCACCTGCATGGTTTTCCCGACGCTTCAGCTACTTTCGTTATTTCTAACCAATGAAAATTGTCCTTACTTTTCTGTTGCGTCATGCAATTTTATTGCACGCATCACTGAATTGTAGAACACACATCACAAGATTTCGAATATACATCACAAGATTATCGAACATACATCACAAGATTTCGAATATACATCACAAGATTTCGAACATACATCACAAGATTATAGAATATACATCACAAGATTTCGAATATACATCACAAGATATTGAATATACATCACAAGATTTTGAACATACATCACAAGATATTGAATATACATCACAAGATTTCGAATATACATCACAAGATTTCGAATATACATCACAAGATTATAGAATATACATCACAAGATTTCGAATATACATCACAAGATATTGAATATACATCACAAGATTTTGAACATACATCACAAGATATTGAATATACATCACAAGATTTCGAATATACATCACAAGATTTCGAACATACATCACAAGATTATAGAATATACATCACAAGATTTCGAATATACATCACAAGATATTGAATATACATCACAAGATATTGAATATACATCACAAGATTTTGAACATACATCACAAGATATTGAATATACATCACAAGATTATAGAATATACATCACAAGATTTCGAACATACATCACAAGATTATAGAATATACATCACAAGTTTTAGAATATACATCACAAGATATTGAATATACATCACAAGATTTTGAACATACATCACAAGATTTTGAATATACATCACAAGATTTCGAATATACATCACAAGATTTTGAATATACATCACAAGATTTCGAACATACATCACAAGATTTTGAATATACATCACAAGATTTTCAATATACATTTCGACATACATCACAAGATTTTGACATATTGCAACGTTTGACATGCCTCACTTGTTGGTTTCTGTTCAGATACAGCCGGTTCTGGTTCACTTGTTGGTTCCTGTTCAGGAAACACCGGTTCTCGTGTACTTGTTGGATCCTGTTCAGGTACCGTCTGTTCTGGTTCAGTTGTTGGTTCCTGTTCAGGTATTGCCGGTTCTGGTTCACTTGTTAGTTCCTGTTCAGGTTTCGACGGTTCTGGCTCAACCCTTTGTTCCTGTTCAGGTAACACCGTTTCCAGTACATTTTTTGATTCTGTTAAAACCTTACCGCGATTTGATTCCCTTCTGGAAAACAGAGCTTGGTTTGGCTTTGGCATAGTATTTAATGAATCTTGTTCAGTTAATGAAATCTGGTTTGTGACTGCATTTTGTATTGGTTTTGACGTTATTAATCTGGTTTCAGACCCAAATTTCTTCTCTGTCTGCGGTATGGATGGGTATTCGGTGTTTTGCTTTGGTTCAACATTTACAAATGAAGTGCTATAGGGTTCTGAAAAATAAAAAAAATCATCATTATTTGAAAACGAATACTTCAAAAACAAAATTGTTTTCTTTAATCTGTCGAAGTAGTTTAATATAAACATCATCAAAAATATTCTCACCTTTAACTTCACCAACACAGGAAAAGAAGGATCTCAAAGGGGAAACAGAGGCGTCCATATACTGCTGGACATAAGATGCTGCATTAGTACCACATTGACCGGATGTAGACTGGACGACACACTTCAGAGTGTCATTGGAGTTACTTTAATAAGAGTAAAAATAAATCCTTAAAATGAATCAATCGTCTTAAACCATTCAATATATTTTATGTATTTTTATTAAAATTATACATGAAATTTTAAGATAATAACGTTTAAGCAAATCGAGACTCTTACAGTTCTATTGATTTCCAAAAGAGACATTTTATTATTTGAAAAATGCTAACTTACATGCAAAGTTCATCTGCTTTAGATGCCAGGTCGGTCAGCACTGAAGTTGGATTTGAGAATATTTCTCTAATAACAGTTATTATTCTTCCACCACATTTAAACGAATTATTTTTCATAGTTTGTGTAGTCAGGCATCTGAAGTGGTCTATGAACCCTGGATAAGAGAATAATTACAAATTATATTATACGTGTGCTCTACGCAAATTATTTTACATGAAATATTTACATGGAATCAAAGAGGTTTTATTGTCTTCAGTGAATTGTACAAATTAGGCAGATTGAATAAATGAATTGATAACATATAGCTGAGTTATCATAACTATTCATTACTTTATAAGTAAAACATTTTGAGTCTTCAATGGCATTTTCCAACTATTTCAAACGCCATGTTTTTGAAAGTTGTGCTTCATAGAGGTAAACGAGTAGAATAAACTATGGACGTTGTATGATTAATTAACATGTAATGATTATAATAAAAAATAAATGCTGGAGAAATGTTTCGTCATTTTAATGGGATAGTAATTATACCAACCTTGTTTTCCAATCCCACAAACAAATCTTCCGGACGACACTGCGGTTTCGTAAATGAGCCGATACTGTGGAGCACACCCTAATAACTTGTCCCCAACACAGTCATAGAGTTCTTTGAGTTTTCTACAATAAATTAAACGTAAATTCGTAAAATAAAATAGTTGAAAAATTGAAATTGCCAAACCTTCATTTAATCAGTGAAGCAAGTATCAACTCATTCTGAATTCCTACTACATTTTGTGTGGTAAAACTGTAAATTTTTGATTCTCTTTATATAAATATATTTTTATATTTACTTAGAAAAATAGACAAAATGACCTACAAACACATTTCTTGCACAAGCGTTTTAGGACTTCCTTTGAACTCCTCTGTGTATGCAGATATTTGGAACTTTGGAATCGACGAAAAAGACGCCATGCATTGCAAAGAACCGATTAAATCACATTGTTGACTTCTAACTCCGAAGATACCTGTGTTAGAAAAACATGTATATGAAAATATTTTCACCTGTTGAACAATTAATTAAAAAGGAAAAAAAGAAAAATTCACCAGTAACTTTCTTGTTATAAACTGAGAAAAAAATCTACGGAAAAATTCACACTTCTTAGAAAAAACAACATAAATTTGATGCAATTTAATGTACGAGGGCCGTTCAAAAATTACGCGGACTGTGCTATTATTTACTCTCACAGACGTCATATAGTTTTGAAATTTCACAGAAATATGTATCTTAAAGATTCCAATAAATTTTGGGCAAAATTTCTGTATTTTAAAAAAATTCTACTAAAATTATCGGTATATTGATATCGCTGATGGAGAGGTACGGAGCACGACAAAAAATTGAAGCAAAATCATGCGGAATCCAAAATTAAACTCATTAGTTTTCTATAATTCGCGATATTTTTCGACAATTTTCTCAAATATATCTTTAAATTGTTCTATTATTATGTATTTAGATTTCTGACGTGATATTTGAAGTACTAGCAGAAATATAGTGATTTTTCTCTGATGTGATTCCCGTGAAAACGACCGTGAAAATGACGTTTCCCGAATTGACGGCGCACCACACCTTTGTTAAATTATGTGTAATGCTCGAGATATCGCCAACATAGGTCCAAAATATGCATAATAAAACATGTAGTAAACTAGGGTATTCGTGACATTCGTCCACAAATAGCAAATTGAAATTTTAGACCGTTAGACCTCTGTAAAAAAGGCTATACGGGAGGACGGGAAGAAGATTATCGACGAAAAATTTATCCGGACTGTAAAGAACGTGATTGAGAGTCACCAGTACCACACTATATCTCATAAATACCTGCATTTTTTTTGGTTTTAAAACAAAAAAAGAATATTCTTGACTTAATAGATTTTCAGCTTGACAAGAAATAGTGTTTGGATGTTAAACAGATAAGATAACTCAAACTGTACAGATACTCTTGGGAAAATGTTGAGAAAATGAAAGCTCAATCACATATTTTTTTTATAATGCCTGTGACGTCGAAGATTTTGCTGCTCCGTGACTCAATGATATGTCCTAAAAAATCATTCAAAATTGATACCAATTTACAACATTTTGATACGAAATTTTGAAGACCATATAAATAAAGATTCTTTTATATTATGTGTGAAATTTTGCCCGATTATGTCGCCAGATATTTTTTCTGTGCAACAAGTCCGCGTAATTTTTGAACGGCCCTCGTATAATTAAAATTTTCAAACAAAAAATAACAGAATGCAGCCTTAATTTACAGTAAGTGTATTGTTCATTTGTAATGATTTTCAAGGAGAAGAAGCCTCTTAACCTACACTAATTAAGTTAACAAATTAATTTAATAAATTTTCTGTATGTGCTTTTGTATATTAAATTTAGTTTCTGAAAGTTAGTTTAGATACCGAAAAAAGCACTTACCAAAAATTATTAACAGGAGAAATTTATAAGGTGCCATCTTTGTGTTATTATGATTGAAAACTTTATAGTTCTACATTATATACTCTACCAAATGTCATTTGTAAGATATAAAGGTCAAAGCACGACGTCTGTTTTTGGAATATCTAATTATATTTCTTACATTATCATGACGTCTTTAGAAGAATATAGTTCCTGCTTTTTGTTGTGTTTTAGTCCCACGTATTTCAGGTAAATAAGTGGAAAGTATAACGCTAAAAACATGTTATCAAATCATATTAAAAAGGTAATCTCTATTGCACTGTAGTTGAGAGAAATAATTTTGTCTATGCAAAATATGACTATTTTACTAAGATTCAATTCTTCAAAACAACCTTTCAATTTTAAAAACTTTTCACATCACAGTTAATGGGAGTGAGTTTGCTTGATGTTGCAAGTTAAAATATGTTCTATAAATTCGCAGTTTGAGGGTATTCAAATGTATTTGTATCAAGGAAAATAATTATCTTCGAGGATAGCTTATTAACATGTTCGCTGTAAAGAAATTAAGCAATTACATGTTTTTGATTTTCAGCTCATAATTGAAAGATAGAAACTGGAAGGTACGGCAACTCAATAAGGAGAGATAGAAAATGTGATTTCTGTCATTTAAATGATATTGGAGATGAGTGTCAGGTTTTATTCATTTGTCCAGTTTTTCATGATTTAATAGACAGGTTGATCAAAGATTGTACTACCCCAGAAGACCAAGTGTCTTTAAACTAATACAACATTTTTGTAGAACATTATAAATAATTATGTAAATCAGCGGGGGAAATATACATATCATGTTATAATTTACGACTGGAATGTTTAAAAAAAATTATATACATGTAGCTAATTATTGAATGTGTATGTATCACAAGTTTGTAAGTGTATAAGGTGTTATTGTACTATGTTTGCAATTGATAAATATTGTACTGTGATGTTTATGGGGTGTACGTCCCACGGGAAAAGAACTGCACTAATTCTGCTCAAAACCTTTAAACGCAAACAAAGTAATTTGTTAGGCCAGTAGACATTCACCAAGTCCCTATACCTACTCCTCACCAAATATTAATTTCTGTGAAGGAGAACTTGTGCTTCAGCATATTCAAGAACTGGTGCAAATCAAAATTGGACTCTATAGAATAAAAAGTTTTGGAAAATTCAAAGATTTAAAAACTTTTCAAGCAGGAAAAACATCGAAACATGTGGCTTTGCTAAGCTTTCTATAACAATTCCTCACGTCCAGTCGTTAAAAACACCATAGACAACTGCTTCCTTAATACAATTAGAACTCGTAAAGTTTTATTCCTTACGATTGATCATCTACAAAATTTAATTACTTTTTAACTATAATGCTGACTCTTCATACAAATATGTATGGTGAGCTCGACACACAGAATAAAAATATACCGTTTAGCGGGTTATTTTAGCGGGGTGCTAATTTTGCTTATTTTGGCGTTTTGACGATAGTTCGTTGAAATTCTAATCGTTAAAATAGTCAGTACCCCTCTTAGTGTCCATCTGCAAAGAGCTGAAACCCTGCGTCCGCTAAAATAAATTACGCCAAACTTATTGGCATACCTTTGAGCGGGCAAAACGCCAGCCAAATTTTACACCCGCCAAGAAAACCCGCTATACGGTATTCATAATAGTACAAGTATTTCTGAGGCGAAAATTTGTAAAATATTTTTATCTAACCAGCTTCACGGGTACGGGATTTTTGTATGAAACGTCACATTTCATACATTTAGTACTAGTCCTATATTCGTGGATCAAGCGAAAATAGAAAGTAAAATAAAAATGACAATGACTATGTACTCTGTTAAAAAAATATTTGATGTTTTACCACTTTTATGGTATACATACCATTTTTTCACCGATTTTATGGTATACATAAAATCTGCCACATAGAAGCGAACCTCCTGTCTTGACCATAACCCCCCCCCCCCCCCCTCCGATATAAACAGCGAATCATGATAATATATTTATATGAGATAAAAATTAATATCAGCAAATCAGATCTAACATATTATTACTTAACATAATGTAAAATAATTTGTTCTCCATTCTTTAAGTAAGCTTTGTCACAAAGTTTAAAGAGGGAAAGTGAGGGACCAGGTAAATAAAATATATTAAAAACAAACAAACAAACAAAACAACAAAACCCTCAAAGATTTATTCATAAAACTGCAAGTATTCTTCTTTATGTATGGGATATATTAGGATATATTAGCGGTCGGATCTCTACTATACTCAGGGTTAAAACAAAAACCTGGTTGAGGGGCATATGGATACTATCTCTCTTCCCCCTTTCAAAAGTGGTGATGGATACGATATAAACCTCAATCTATGACTTCAATGTATACATACTTATAATCTAACGTGTTGTTGATGTCTCTCTATCTCCCTTTTTCAAAGTATTTTTGAATTTGTATTAGCTTATAATCATATACAATAGCAAATACATGGTACACGAGCTTTCACTGAATCCCGAGTGAAGTGAAGATTCATTATTATTTCCGCCCCCTCGAAATTAATTCAGTACAATACTTTCGCACAACTCTCTCAAAAATATTCAGAAATTTATATCGACCTAACTCTGTACTTATTAATATAATCTTTGGAGAAGTAGCGATAACAATGTTCCTGGTGCAAGGGGGAAGAACTCCGAAAGGTGTCATAGTTCATAGCATATGCATCAAATCTTTCCATAAGTTTTAATGGCCTTTAGGACGAACAAAGAATCTTTTCGATAAACCTCGAAACAAGAAATCAGCGGAAGGAAAATAATAGTAAACAGAAAAAAAATCAACTTTTTTCGCTTCACCGCGCGAAAGCATAGACGTAAACATATTGTGACTGTTCCTTTGTCAAGCACTCGGTATTAAAGATTTAAGTCACCGGTTTTCGGATGAGACCCCCCCCCCCCCCACCCCCCCGAAAAAAACGAAGCGCCGCATATGTTAGGTGTTGACACGATAACAAAACCTCACTGCTCAATGGCAAAGAGTGTCAAGTATACATTTGTAAGTCAACATTTGGAGCCCTTCTCCGGTACCGGATATGGACGTGTCAATAGAATTTATGGAGATAACGAACAGTAGACCATTAAAAAATCAATAGTTTCATCAGATATCATGGTGTAGTAACCATCTCCTGCGAAAATTCAGTGTATAAAAAATGGCTTACCAATTAGTATGAAAATCGTCAGTTAGCATTTGACTTAATGACAAATTGTTCGTTATCTCCATATCCTTCATCGCTGACAAGGTCATTGTATCAACCATAGAACTTACGAAATGAGGACTTTAAACACGACTGCTAATATTCTTGTTTCAGCAATTTGTTTATCAATAAAAATTTACCCCTTTTTGGATATTTTTAATAGCTAGAGCATGCTCTCGCGAATCAACCGAGATATATATGCAGGTGAGGAAGGTATACTGTTGAATAAGTCATGGAAGTTGACGATGAAAAGTTATTGTCATCTTGTTTATCATAAAACTTGGCTGTTAAATTACCATTAACGTCTTTTTAAAGTAAAATAACTAAATATGAAACATATGTCAGACTCTGTTGCATTTTTTTCAAGTTCTCTAGGATACTGTAAACGTATAACACGTGACTTTGTGTTCTTTATAGTGCTTTTGACAGAAAGAAACTTTCTCTAATTTAAGTAAGACTCTTAATCTCTTGCCCATATATGCACTTATATTCATTAATAAGAACATATATAAATTAAATACGCTAAATCAAACCTAAGGTAACTTGTTCAAAATCCAATTTTGACACACGCTAAATATGATACATTTACAGTATATCGAATTGGCATATGAATAGAAGTAACTTTTGTTAACTGATAATTCGTCAGTTATATGTATCTGAGTGTTGCCTTGAAGGTCACAGCAAGTGTTTTCCTTTTCTTGAATACAAGTTTTCAAATAAACTGTGTTTCATATGGATATAAAAATGTTTCCTAATAATGTGTCGCAATTGGTTCCTCAAGGGGATTCCGATAGATTGGTGGAAAACCAGATCTCCAAAATCTAAACAGATATTGTCAACTTGAAACTCAGGCACTTTTGAATATCAAATTCACAGTACTTTTAAGTACAAGCAGAGTTTCTGTTTAAACGAAATTTGTAAATACCGAATGTCAAGGAAAGTACAAATTCAATCTTTATCGAAAATAGTACTTGTCTTCGATGTCAAACAACTTGGATTTTAATTTATCATGGGAACTGATTGTTAACTGTGTTGAAAACTATGGATCATTTTCTTGAAAATAGATATTTGAAACACTGGAAAAAATTATCAAATTCATTCTTAAATTTACACACGGCACAATCTGCCCGTAGAAAATTGGTAGAGCGTGAGAGATATTTTACAATGGTCATCTGCGATGACAAATCTTTATTCTTAAGAATGTCAAATAAGCTTTCAAAACAGACATTGAAGAAAATAAGCTCATATGAAAAAGATTTATTTTCAAAGAAAGACATCAAAACACATACAAAACGTTTAAGTAGGAAAAGGTAACAAAAATCATGAAGAATGTCCACCGATGTGCAATGTCGTCTGACCTGTAAATACATAGACTGTTTATAACACACTATCTCTTTAAATGTAGCATTAAAACGATGTGATACATTTGTACATTAAAAATTAAAGATTGTTATTATAATCAAAACATAAAAGAAGTGAATGAATGAACGCTCTAAAAGTGTATATAAAATTATCAAAGTGACGTCTACACAAAATTTTATTACCCTGCAAAATGCTTTCTTTCTTTATTTCAGTGATACTGTCTAAGATCTGAATGGAGCCAACAAAGACCATATACATTCGATGTCATTTTTAGTCGGGGTTAAATTGAGCAAAGTCTTAGCTGGCTATTGGTGTAATCAACAAGAGGCCCATCATCACCTGAGCATCATGTAACAACTTTCTAACAATTGAAATTGGGTAGCGCTTTAAACCAGGGGCCATGACACACATTTTGAAAGAGGTTTAATTGCTCATTATAAGTATATACACTTAGCATGCTAAGTTTGGTTAATATATACCCTAAAGCAGAGAAGGAGGAAATTCAAATGTATCTCAATGAATCAGTGGCAGTAAGCAATAATTGATAGTGTCCACACCAGACAGGAACTCCTGACCCTGGGGCCACACATTTAATTATTTTGAAAAAGGCACCCTTCAACATCACAAATGTTTGATTAAAACCAAGGAGCAGATTTCAAAGCATAATTCATTTTCAGTACATGATCATTAGAGCCTCCCCCTCTACAGTACCTGATCCAGGGGCTTTGAAGTTTACAATTCTGGAAGAGATGCCCTTCCTCCTCATAACTAAGTAGGTACCTCATCTGATTAATACCCAGAAGCAGAGGAGAAGATTTTTTCATAGAATTACTATTATAAAATCCATTAAGCCCCTCCCTTACACCAGAACCCCTGACTCTCGGGCAATGAAATTTACAGTTTTGGAAAAAGCACTCCTGCTCATCATAACTATGTATGCAATCAGTCTGCTTAATACCCAGGAACAGAGAAAATTTTCAAAGAATTAATGCATTTTCACTGTATATTCAATAGAGCCCCGTTCTAACACCAGAGCCCGTGAATCTGTGGCCATGAAATAAGGGAACTTGCTCAGCATTACTATGTAGATTGTTAATTCAATACCCCGGAGCAGAGGGGACGATTTTCAAAATATTAATGCATTTTCACCACATTCAATGGAGCCCCACCCTAACACCAGAACTCCCTGTTTCTGGGGGTCCTATTTACAAATTTGAAAGAAGGGACCCTGGTCATCATAACTATGTAAGTATGTAATTAGTTTGTTTAATACCCAGGAGCAAAAAAGAAAATTTTCTGAATGAATGCATTTTCACTCAATAATCAAAAGAGCCCCGCCTTAACACCAGAAACCCTGACCCAGGGGCCATGCAATTAACAAATATGGAAGAAGCACTCCATCTCATTATATCTTTACATTAAGTTAGCTTGTTAAATACCCTAGAGAAGATGAGTGGATTTTCAAAGAATTCATGCATTTTCATTTATATAATAATAGAGCCTCACCCTAACACTAGAATCCCTTCCCACTTGGCCATGAAATTTACAATTTTGGAAGAGAATCCTTTCTCATTAGAACTATAAATGTTTGTTTTATAACCAGGAGAAGAGAAATATATAATCAATTGCGTCCTATACGAACCTGAGAACCCCTAATTATAACCCATGATTTATGAAATTCACAATTTTAAAGATTTAATGAATTTTCACTATATAATCAATAGGGCCCCGCCCTATCATCAGAACCCCTGACCCTGATGATCATGAAATTCAAAAATTTGAACAAAGGGACCTTGCTCATCATAACTGTGTTACTATGTAGTTAGTTAGTTTAATACCCAGGAGAAAAGACGAAAATTTTCAAAAAGTAAATGTACTTTCACTGTATATTAAATAGATCCCCGTTCTAACACATGAGTCCGTGACCCTGGGGCCATGAAATTAAAACAATGAGGAAGGGACCCTGCTCAGCATAACTATGTAGATGGTTAATTTAATACCCAAGAGCAGAGGGGAAGATTTTCGAAGAATTAATGCATTTTTACTATAATCAATAGAGCCCCATCCAAACACCGGAACCTCTGTTCTTGGGGTTCTGAAATTTACAAATTTGAAAGAAGGGACCTTGGTCATCATAACTATGCAGATATGTAATTAGTTTGTTAATACCCAGGAGCAAAGGAGAAAGTCTTCAAAGAGTTAAAGCACTTTCAATACATAATCAATAGAGCCCCGCCCTAACATCAGAAACCTTGGCCCTGGGGCAATAAAATTCACAATTTTGGAAGAGGCACTCTTCCTCATCATATCTTAACATTAGGTTAGTTTCTTTAATACCAAGGAGAAGAGGAGAAGATTTTCAAAGAATTAATGCATTTTCACTACATGTATATAATAATAAAGCCTCACCCTAACACTAGAACCCCTTCCCACGTGGCCATGAAATTCAGAAGTTTGGAGGATTCACCATTTCTCATCAAAACTATACATTAAGTTTGATTAATAATGGTAATTTCCATTCCTACGTCGATACGATATATCCTGGTGAGTTTGAGATAAAAGATACCACAGAGTCCAACACTTCTGTTTCATACTTTGATATTTTACTTGAAAGAGACACTAATGGTAATCTTACAACCAAGTTATATGATAAACGTGATGACTTTAATTTTTCTATCGTCAACTTTCCTTACTTATGCAGCAATATACCTTCATCACCTGCATACGGAGTATATAGATCTCAGTTGATTCGATACGCAAGAGCATACTCTACGTATGAACAATTTCTAAAACGAAGTAAATTATTGACAAGCAAGTTGACGAAACAAGAATATTAGCAGTCTCGTTTAAAGTCATCAATTCGTAAGTTCTGTGGTCGATACAATGACCTTGTCAGCAAATACAATTTATCATTGAGTCAAATGCTGACTGACGTTTTTCATACCATTTCTTAGTCCATTATTTATACACTGAATTGACGACGGATTTTTTCCGTTATTTCCTGATCATGACAAGGAGCACACGGCGATTGTGACCGGTCGGCAGGGCATGCTCACTCCTCCACGGCACCTGATCCCAGCTCTGATGTTTCGGGGGTCCGTGTTTGCTCTGCTCCTATTTTGTATTGTTTAATGGACTTTGAGATTGAATACTGTTCGTTATCTCCATATCCTTATTATACCCAGGAGCAGAAAAGAAGATTGTCAAAAAATTAATTCTTTTTCACTTTATAATCAATAGAGCCACCAAAGCCACTGACACTGGGGCCATCAAATTCACAATTTTGAAAGAATCGACTTTGCTCATCATAACTATGTAGATAGTTTGTTAGTTCAATACCCAGTAGCAGAGATTGATTGATTGATTGTATATTGTTTAACGTCCCTTTTGAGAATTTTTCACTTATATGGAGACGTCACCGTATGTCGGTGAAGAGCATCAAATTTAGACCTATCCTCGGCACTCAGGGCCTTTGAGCAGTGAGGGTTCTTTATCGTGTCAGCGCCTACCGTGACACGGGACCTACGTTTTTAAGGTCACATCCGAAAGACCGGAGACTTTCACTTCTGATGCCGAGCGCTTGGCGAAGGAACAGTCACTACCTATTTTTACGTCCTAGGTTTGACACGGCGCCGAGAACGAGAATCGAACCTGGACCTCCCGGTCACAAAGCGAACGCTCTACCACTAGGCTACCGTGAACGGTAGGAGCAGAGAAGAAGATTGTTATAGAATCAATGCATTTGCACTATATAATCAATAGAGCCCCGCCCTGGGGATCATGAATTTAAAAATTTGAAAGAAAGGACCTTGCTCATCATAATTTTGCTACCATGTAGTTAGTTTGTTTATTACCAAGGAGCAAGGAGATTTTCAAAGCGTTAATGCGCTTTCACTATATGTTCAATAGAACCCCGCCCTTACAAAAGAACTCCTGACCTGGGGTCATGAAAATAACAATTTTGGAAGAGACACTCTTCCTCATCATAAGTTTACATAGATTTAGTTTGTTTAATAATAGGAGTAGAAGAGAAGATTTTCGAAGAATAATTCATTTTACTATATAATCAATATAGTTCCGTTATACCATCAGAACCCCTTCCCCTTGGGTCATCAAATTCACAATTTTAGGAGAATGGACCTTGCTCATTATTACTATATTACTATATTATATTTATGTAGTCAGTTTGTTTAATACACAGGAGCAGAGGAGAAGATTTTCAAAGATCAGAGTTAATGCACTTTAAATATTATGTAATCATAAAGCCCCGTCCTAACACCAGAACCCCTGACCATGGGCCAATTTTAGAGGAGACACTCTTCTTCATCATAACTATATATTGAGTTAGTTTGTTTAATACCTAGGAGCAGAAGAGAAGATTTTCAAAGAATAATTCATGTTTACTATATAATCAGTAGAGCCCCGTCCAAACACCAGATTTTTTCCTACTGGTTGGGGGGCATTTTTTATTGTTGAAAAATGACCCCCGGTCATTAGTTGATGGCGATTATTATTATTACACCGGTGGATACATCGCAAGACCACCAGTTGTACCTTTTAGTGTGGAATTCTTATTCGCTTCAAGTAAAGAAGTCATGTGCATATAAATTTTAGGACATTCATGCCAGCGCCTACCGTGACACGAGTTACATTTTAGAATTCAAAAACCAGACATTTTCCAAAATAATGTGTTTTGCAAAGATACATACTATTGTTACAAGTAATGCCCTTGGTCAGAGGTTTCATCGAGGCTTCCATATAAGAACGTGTATAAGCTGCTGCTTTGCCACCACACAGAGTCTGGGCCTTATCTTCAACACAGGTCATAAATTTCTCTAACACTCTGTGAATTTCATATAGAAATAGATTAACCAATAAATTTTAACAAATTTAAGTTTCATATATATTACCAAACACTTTTATAATTATATAATTTATTCTATATATATATATACAACACAGGTCATAAATTTCTCTAACACTCTGTGAATTTCATATAGAAATAGATTAACCAATAAATTTTAACAAATTTAAGTTTCATATAATTATATTACTAAACACTTTTATAATTATATAATTTATTCTATATATATATATATATATATATATATATATATATATATATATATATATAGAGAGAGAGAGAGAGAGAGAGAGAGAGAGAGAGAGAGAGAGAGAGAGAGAGAGAGAGAGAGAGAGAGAGAGCACTTGAAACAAACAGCACTGTATATCCTAAGTGTCTGATCTACAAGGTAGATACAAGTTGGAAGTTTATAAAAGGCACCAAAAATGCCAAACTACTCGAACAATAAAATCGTCAAATTTTCTGGCTGCCCTGTCCCTTCTTGAGAATACGTCAAGAAGTGAGAAAAATAAAGGAAAAACGTCAGGAAGTGAAAAAATAAAGGGAAAATAAATAGCACTGCTGCTAAACTATCATTTACAATGTTACGTATTTGATTTGAAGGTTTATAATCAACGGTAAAGAAGAAATTCGGATCGCTATGAAATACGTCCGGTCTGTCAGACGTGCCCTGCTGAAGTGCGATTTACATAATTGAACGAGTTAGTCCCCATATCGCACAAAACATTTTATCAAAGTTGTAAAAAATTGTAAAAAATGTTTTTTTCAAAACATTTCAAAGTAAACAATTTAAAAATATTTTTTAAAAAATTTTCTCTTCTTATTATAACATTTTGAACAGGTTTTCAAGAAGCTTATGGTAAAGTATTTAAGAAACATTTCATTAAATGTTTTTGAAACGTTTTAAAAATGATTCGAATGGTATATTTAGTTTTTGGAAAATCAATATTTTCATAATATATTTTTAAAAAAGTTTTGAAAATATCAAGTAAAACATTTGTGTTATATATATATATATCTGAAACATATCTCATATTACGTTTCAGAACCATTTTGAAGGAACATTGTCAAAATATTTTTAAAACATTCTTATTATTGCTCATAGTTAAATTTGAATATTTTCAGCCTTCTTTTAAAAACATTTATGAAAATGTTTTGTCTTTTATGAAAATTTTATGTCTTCCTATAACTGAAACATTTTATTTTTACTTTTGTGAAACATTTTAAGAAAATTTTCAAAATGTTTTTAAAATATCCAAATCATTGCTAAAATTAATAAATTTTGTAATGTTGAACATACGTTGTGAGAATGTTTTAAAGATCAATCATGTAATTTACATGTAACATGTTTAATTTTCAAAATGTTGTAAAAACATTCTGATTTTTTTTATATTTAATCATTTAAATATTTTCAGCTTGGCCATGAACATGGTTTGTTTGTTTGTGTATTGTTTAACGTCCCTCTCGAGAATTTTTCACCCATATGGAGACCCCACCACTTGCCAGTGTAGAGCTGCAAATGTTTTCCTGTACTTGGCATTTACAGCCATTGAGCAGAGAGGGATCCTTTTCATGCCAAAACTTTATGTGACAAGGACCTTTGTTTAACGGTCTTATCCGAAGGACCGTGTCCCACAGTGGGTTTCGAATCTGCGACGTAACTATGATTATTTTTTAAAAACAAGAAAATGTTTTCTCTTCCTACAACCGAAACATTTTATAAATAATTCTATGAACATTTTAAGAAACATTTTCAAAATGTTTTTGAAACATTCATATCATTGCTGATAGAAATACATTTTGTAATTTTGAGAGTACGTTGACATTTAATTTGACATGTTTTATTTTTTTTTCTTTTTCTAGACTCAAATTTCATTTACCATTGCTACAGCATTTTGTAATGTTACTTTCAAAGTGTTCTAAAACATTTATCAATGATTTATGAAAACCATTTTCTCAAAGTATACAGTTTGAAAAAAAAATATCGAGAATATCCAGATGCTGAATCGTATATATAATATGCCGCGGTAATTTTCTTTTTCTATTAATATATTAAAAAAAAATCTTTTTGAATTTAAGGCAGGTACAAAGTTCACTGTAGAAAAAAGATACATTAAAAAATTAAGAGAATGAAAAGACAAATAAATAAATACGATACTTAATAAATAAATGACTCAGTTTACAATAATGAAGTCTTGTTTTAAATATCGTCTTCATCATATTTTTGATTCATGTGACTTATAAATTAAAAAAAATGTCGGCCAAACATGAAATATTAAGGGCATGTCTATTTAAAATTTTATTTTCATTCGTGATTTTTGAAATTATGTAGAATAAATTATATAAATATGAGTTCGGAATCCCTTTCGTTGTAAGAAACCTCAACAATTTCTAAATTTTCTAAGCTCTGTCAAATATATCTCCATCTAAAGCCAGGTTTTCAATCGTTCAGTATTATTCTTCGTTAATCTCGTTAAAATCTAAGTATTTGTATCATTATTGCGTCCATCTGCTAGGAAATGACCAATAACGTTAAGTATGTAACCATCTGTACCCACTATCATCATTGGCTTCAGGGGTGGTTGACATTTGTAAGGACTGTATGTTTGGCGCTGGAAACAGTTGTTAAATCTCTTTTTATATAAATATCTGTGACATCTGTAACATGGGCTGCAACATCTTCGCCATCGGCAAATAGTTGCTTTACGAAAATTGTCAAACTGTTGTTTCAGGAGACCTGTCAGATGGACATAATAATAATGTCTGATATTCCAAGAGGATTATCAAAGTCAATTCATTTTAGCTTGTTCAACACATTCATTTGAACGTTGTTGAGGAAATTCATTAAATATGCTTTGTTAAACATGGTGTGTTCTGACACTCTTGAAAGCATCTTTGTGCATTCTTCTTTTAACTCACCTTCTTTTAAATGTTTCTTACAGCACCTGGTACCTTCAGGTATTATTGTACCAGATTCTATGAAATGTGTTGTCCTTATGTCTTCATTTATCACAACAAGATCTTTACCCTTTTTACAAAATTGATATCAAATGCATGCGAAGACATACATGTACTACGAGGAACCTCCAACTCAGTAACGTTTGGACTACCAAAGGATGAACACTTTAAACAATGTACATCTCTTTTTTTAGTAATTTCTTATAGTTTTAAGAAATTTTTATTCCAATTTTTATGTTGGTTTTGGGTGGTTGTGATATGCGTAGGAGTTGTCAAACACACTTACCCTCTCATGTTTTCCCATTGCGCTAATTTAATACGGAGCGATAGTTCAACAATTTGAAACCCTTATCATAAAAATTCTACAAAGCACTATGTAAACAGTTTATCATTTATCATTAAATTGGATTTTTATCGCAATGATTCGTGGATTTCTTTAAAAAAATATTTTGAAATTTTTAGTCATCGTAAGCCACAAAAAGGCTTTTAAAGTTTTAACCTTTGATATTATATGAAGGAAAAGATTTGTCGCAAGAAACGAACTTGTGAAATAAAAAAAAAATCATTGCCTCAAACCAATCAAAAGTTAAGTGCAAGGTCGAAGTTTTTGAACACAAACAGATAAACGGACAGACATGGATAAAACTAGATACCCTCAAATCTTCGATTACGGGGGCATAACAATAAGTTATTTTCTTTTTGTCCTTTATTCGAATCGCAAACACTTTCATTGATATAAATCGTTTTAAAAGTGTCCATGTTGAGGGCTCCGTATTGAAGCTTATGGCGAGAGTTGAAGTTTTATTTAATGCAGGTCAAGCTCTAAAGATTAATGGCAAAATATCACAATCGTTGGTAGCAAAAAGAACGTCTAGTCCCAAGGAATTCACATGTGAAATAAGAAACCTCTACTTCTAACTATAAAAAATTATGAAGGTAAGAACTCTCTCTACGCTGCAAACTTAAGAGTTCTGATTCTATGGTATTTTTCTGCAGTTAGAGTGTTCTGTCCCTAGATCTAACTTCTAAAAAATAGAACTTTACACTATACTACTCCATATGTAATCAATTCATGTATTCTTAATATTTGAAAAAGTCAAGGTAAATTAATTGAACTCATTATTTACATTCGTTTTCTCTACGGAAGTAAACAGTAGTGATTTCTATTCACTGATACTGTGTTGTGTTTGAACATTTTGCCTGGAGGGTAATGCCACGTACCAATAAACTGTAAGACATTAGATTAGGATTGGATCACTGGTCAGTTTCAGTGTCATTAATATTGTAACCCAGATATGCAATTTTCCTTGTGGGAAGCGTATTGTAGAGTATAGTGGTTTGCAGCTTATCCAGACCAAAATTTAAATTCTAGTAAACAAGATTTGAGCATTCTCCTATTGCTGATTTTTATCATATCGGCAAAAAAAATTAAGTTGTCAGGACTTTTAGCTCTGATCGGTGAGTATACATTTCTAAAGAAAGTTTGGGTATATTGTTGTGACTCATGTCCGTCCGCTAAGTTTCGGGGGGTATATAGTTTTTTGTCATGCCCGTCCGTCTGTCTGTCTGTCTGTCTCTGTCTCTCTGTTTGTCTGGCCGCAAAAACTTTAACATTGTCCAAAGCCTTTGATTTAGTGGGGCTATGACTCTCGTAGTTCACATGCGTATTTCTTGTGACAAGAGTTTTCTTTGTGTACCACCAAATTTGACCTTTTGACTTTGGAGTTTGACCCACTTTTTCACAAAAAATCCAAACTTTCACTTTGGCTATATCTTTTGAATAGTAGAAACCAGGACATTTATATTTCACAAATATATTCTTTGTGGAAAGACTTTTTATTGGATACCAACAACCATTTTGACCTTGACCTTGGAGATTTGCATCCTTGTGAAAAAACTTTAACTTTGGCCATAACTTAGGAAGGATAGGGCTTTCATACTTCACATATGTGAGAAGACCCTTCATTGAATGCCAAGACTTTGACCCTTTGACCTTGGAATTCGACTTACTTTTAAAAAGCAAACTTTGACCATAACTTTAAAAGGTTTATGGCTAGTGCTTTCATACTTTACATATTTCATTTTTGTGACAAGAACTTTCTTTGGGTACCACCAAATTTGACCCTTTGACCTTGACCTTGGACTTTGACCTACTTTTCAAAATTGGTAACCTTGACCATAACTTTTGAAGGGTTAGGACTAAGGCTTCCATACTTCTCATGTGTATTTTTTGTGGCAAGGCCTTTCTTTAGATACCAATAATCTTGAACTTTTGACCTTGACCTTGGAGATTTCCGTATGAATAACATTAAATCTTGGCCATAACTTTTGAACGCCAAAGGCTATTGATGTCTTGCTTCACATATGTAATCCTTGTGACAAGCCCTTTCATTTGATATCAAGAATTATGACCGTTTGACCTTGACCTTGGAGTTAGACCTACTTTTTAAAATCGGTAACCTTGGCCATAACTTCTGAAGGGTTAGGGCAAGGCTTCCATACTTCACATATAGTATTCTTCGTGGCAAGACCTTTCATTGCATAGTAATTGCCTTGACCTTGGAGATTTCCGTACTCATAAAAAACTTTAACCTTGGCTTACCTTCATATTTCACAATTGTATTTCCAGTGAGAATACCATACTTTGGATACTTGCATATAAGAAAAGTATAATCTTCTCTATGTTACCATATGGGGGCATCCGTGTTTCACAAACACATCTTGTTCTTTTTTAAATACATGACCTCTGTTCTAATAGTATATGATTGGTTTTTTTTGTTCGTATATGTGTTAAGAAGAGACAATGTGTTACATGGATTTGAAGTGATAACACATTTACTTTCTTGATGATTTGTTGCTGAAATAAAATTTCTTCTTTACATTTTTTTGTCCGGAGGAAGGTACAGCGCATCCTGAAAATATGACAAGTTTTACTGTTCGTTTTGTAGATTATTACCTGCACCTTTCACTGAAAACATCAGAATCAATTTTGTGTTTTTTGTGTTGATAAGTTCTGGATAGTATTTCTGACAAGACTGAAGATTGTTATGATCCCACACAAAGTTGGTCATCACACATTGAAAGTTTTCAATGAATCCTATTAAACAAAGATATTTTTTCATCAACGAAAACCTTTTAATTTTTCTGTTTATTATCATACGTATGAGCAAGATGAATAAATCCATAATGTTAATGGTTTGAAAAAAAGTTGTAAATCATTAAATTAAGATGTGTCACAAAAGTTTTCGCGATATTTTCAACTTTAATTATTTCAAAATATAATTTTATTTAAATATACCAGTGTTAGTAATGTTTAAAATATTTTTTTATCAGTTTTGTAGAATAAAGCAATGCATAAGTATGAGTACCTTGTTTCCCTTCCGCACACATATATTTCGTAGCAGAAATCAGCAGGTCAAATTTCAAAGGGAGGTTCTTTGTAGGTACACACCTTTTTATGTCCTGAAAACACGACACTAGCTCCCACTGGATACTGTTCATTACAATCAAAAAGAAAAAAAAGGCAATGTCAGAGACATTCTTAAAAAATATCTAAATGAGACAACTGATTGTTTTGTGGCAAGAACAAAGAAATCAATTGAAATAAAGAACTGTTTTTCCTGAGCAATAACGGAAAAAATCTCGCAAGAGTATTTTGCATTCTTGTATTTTAATAACAGCATTTTCCAAAGAATTTGAATAAGTTTTCTTTTGCTTGTTTGCCACGTTAGATCAATATAAGAAAAACAAAATGAATGCACAAACCTACATTGTTCCTCTACGGCTTCTTGAGGATTACGTGTTTTGTAATAGTTTGGTGAACTTATCTTTTGCGTAAAATTTATTACAGATGGCTTCAAAACACAATCTTCAAGTCCTGAATAGTTACACATTTGACCAAGGGTTCCTAAATGAAATTCAAAAAAGTTTTCTTTTCTGATATTACAATAAAGTAATAATAGCTGCTACGACTCGTGAGTTTATTCAAAGTGTATGCCGGAAGAAAGATTAAAGATGAAGATAAAGACCTGTTTACTTTGACAGGATCCTTGTACTTTCATAAAGTAGACTTTATCCTTAACACCTAAGAAAAGTAGAAATGTTGTTGTGTATTAATGAGCAATATTTAGACTATAATAAAAAAATCAGAGTAGAAATGTGAAAGAGCAAAACCAACTCACCAGTATTGTCAGTCAATGATAAGCACAGGAGTCTGAAGTTTTTATCGTCATGTAAAAAAAAATCCGGAAAAAAAGATTTCCCACCCTCAACTAAGAAAAACACCAGGATGGCAACGTGTTTTGGGGGGACCCACCTAAACAAATAGATCTGGGCTTGGTCAGAAAAAAATCCCGACTAATCCAGTATCCAGAGCGTTTGTGTTATTTATTCAAGTTAAATAATCCAATCTGCTTGACGACTACGGGCCGTTTCTGGCCATTTTTCCACTTTGACAGCTCATCCTTGACTCCATGCAAAAAACCTGAAGTGATATCGCAGTATATATTTGACGTATATAAAAGCTTGTTCAAATAAAATAAAATAAATAATTGTTCATCGTTATTTGACTCAGTTATTTTAAATATATTTAAAAGAACTTTAAAAAGTTATAAATTCTTTTTCTTACTTATATATCGATATGTACCAGGGACAGATAATTCAGTTTTTATAAGGCGCCAAATTTAAATCACTAAAAAGCCAAGTCGACAAAGAGCCAAACAGCTAGACTTAGCGACCATAGCAGGCATTATTTTGTATAAATCAGATATATGATCAGATATGGTAACATAATATTGTACATGAAGTTTTACATGCAATTCCTTTTTTGTTTCTTTTCTTCAATATTACGTCAAATATTCACTGCGATATCACTTCCGGTGTAGTGGCATGGAGTCCAGGATGAACTGTCAAAGTGGAAAAATGGCCAGAAATGACCCGTAGTCGTCAAGCAGATTGGATTTTCAACTTGAATAAATAACACAATCACTCCGGATACTGAATTAGTTGCGAGATTGTTCTGGCCAAGCCCAGATCTATTTGTTTAGGTGGGTAACCCCAAAACACGTTCCCATCCTGGTGTTTTTTTAGTTGAGGGTGGGAAATTTTTTTTTCGGATTTTTTTTTTTTGGACGATAAAACCTTCAGACTCCTATGATGATAAGTGATGTTTTCAGAGTTCAACACATTAAACTCACTCGGTCGATGAAACGTAAACATTAACAAAATCAGAGCTCATGCACTGTTTACAAAGTATTTATGTTTAACTGAGCGTGCTCTGTTAGTTCAACTCGACACAAATCACTGACAATACTGGTCAGTAGGTTTTGCTTTCTCAGATTTCTATTTTGAAATTTCTGGATGATAGTTTTAATATTGTTCATTGCATATGTCATATGCAACAACATTTCTACTTTTCTTAAGTATACTTCAGGAAAGTGTAGGGATGTGCCTTCCAGATGAAATAACTTTTTCGTGTAAAATGCTATAACAGCGTATTAATCATTATATTAAACAGAAAATGTGAAAAAAAATATTAACTTCAAATGTGGTCTTAGCCCCTTTAAAGCGATATTAAGTGGTTTTATTTAACAAAACGAAAGAAACAAAGTATTTGAGATTTTAGAGATTGATTCGATTTGAACTTTTAAAGATAAAAGCATTACTATCAAAGTGCACATGCAATCATCATTGTTGCTAATGACATAATGGAGATGACAAGAGTTTTCAAGCTCAAAAGTAAATTCATTGCCTGTGTGGCTTTGTTGTTAGAGTGTATGCTCTAGAGTCGCGGAGTAAGGAGACAATCCTTAGTTCGAATTCCACTTTGGGACGTAGAGACAGGACTTTCAGATGAGATCACATTAACCGAGGTCCCATGTATTAGGGCTAGGGTTAGGTGTAGCAGTAGGTGTTGGCATGAAAAAGATACCTCACTGCCCAATGGCCCCGAGTGCTGAGTATAAGACAAAATGGTGGCGTCTAGACGTTAAACAACAAACAAACAATGGAAAAGCAAATAAATCAGAGGCAAAGCAAACTCAGACCTTTGAAAACGTTAGAGGTGGAATCAAGTGCAATAGAGTAGTAAGCATTCTCTGTCGACCTGTAACACCCACCCTATGCTATTCGTCATGATCGAGGAAGAACGCAATACTCCGCCGACCATTCTGTGTGTAAATAATTTCCTAATAAATACAGTGTAGCAGCAGGGTTCTCCACATTTGAAAATTTACCAATGGGGGAAGCTGCGCAAAGGCGCAATGTGACAGAAAACACGAATGCGTGTTAGACTTCCTAATCTTCATTAATCAATTAATTGGTTTTATGATTTTTAATCTTAACCACTGCAACACAAAATGATGAAATAACCAACACTTTTTAAAGCTTAAAAGTATTAATCAAATTGAAAAGGATTATGTATCTTACTTTACAAATGTACCAAAATTTGCCCAAAACTGTAGTAATCTTTTGAAGGAATTTAAGGAAAATTCTTTTGAGTAACCATGGCAATATTATTCATAAACTAATAATTATAAGAATTTTTATAGCCTGTTGTATGAAGCGTTTTGTTTAAACATTACTAAAAATTATGAATGGGTAGTGATTTTTTTAAAGTTAACACACAAATGATTATTTGGATCAGTGTCCCTTTTTTCTACACGTTCTTTTTTCTAGATATTGCATTTTCAGTGAGTGTTCCCCTTTGTTTACTTCTCCACGTGCCCAAATGTTAAAAATAGCACCACGCCAGTTTCATATCAGCGGGAAGTAACTCTAAAACTAAGACTACAATCGAGACTTTGGCCATATGTACATTTTATCAGAAATATAATAAAGTTAAAGCTTTAAAAAACAGAGCTTGGAAAATTGATTAAATACAGAGGAATATGACATTTTGAAAGATTATTTTTTTCTGGCAAAGAAACTTGAATTGCATGCATGACGATTATCATGCTCCTAATCGTCATCTTTTATAAACCCATTATCTAATCATGTTGTGAACATGTTGAAGTTCCCCCAAATTATTTACATGTGTACAAGGTCATCTTTTTTTTATTGTCTACATTATGATTTTTAGGGTCATGATCAAGTAATGAAAATAGTAAGATGATATAGTTGGAAACAGATACATTAGATTTAGTTACGTTCGAAAAAGCCGTAACGTTTTCTGTATTGTCATAATTCTATTTGTTTATTTTGTAAAGCGAGTCGTCCCCTGGTTACATGTTTAAATCAATGTTATGATGTTTTGACAACCCCCTTCCCACAAATAATAATATCATATTTTATTCAAATAATTAAATTTTGCGTTGTTCACGACATAAAAATTAAAAATTAATAAAGTTAAACGAAAAAGACGTTATTACATTTTATTTTTATCCCAACACAAAATGCAATCAACCAAAAATTATAACCTTAAAATTATGTTACCACATTTTACGTAATTACATTATTCGACGCCGAAATGTAATTACACAAATGCAATATTACCAGTTTATTACATTTTGCATTTTTATAACATTTTGTGTTGTAACATAGCACTTATTCTTAAACCTTTAAGTATAATTTGGTTTGACTTACCTGATAAACAACAAAACAACAGAAAAATCATTTTCCTTGACCACAAACTATCTTGCTTAATCTACTGTTTAGTTTAATTGATATATTCAGAAAAAATGTGTTATTTCCATCCTCAATTAATAGAGGGACAGGAACGGAAATTTATTAGAGTTTGATAGAGCATAGTGGAAACACTAATCAAATAAAAAAAATTAACTTAGAGGGAAACAAATACTTAAAGGTTTAAGAATTCGTGCTAAGATACAACACAAAATGTAATAACAATGCAAAATTATTATGTAAAAAAAAAAAAAAAGAACAAAAAAAAAAAAACAACAACAACAACAACAAAAACAAAAACTTGGAATATTTAATTTTTCGTTATTTCATTTTTAATAACGCAAAATGTGATTTTAGATTATTATAATATTAGTTACATATAATTTTACTTTAAATCTTGATTGTTGTAGGTTATCTAAAGTCATGCACCGACATCTGCACAAAAGTATTTGTTTTTATTTGATTAGTGTTTCCACTATGCTCTATCAAACCCTAATAAGTTTCAGTTCCTGTCCCTCTATTAATTGAGGAAGGAAATAACACATTTTTTTCTAAATATATCAATTACACTAAACAGCAGATTAAGCAAGAAATCAAGCGTGAAATAATGAATTATTTAGCACAGTTTGGGTGAATTATCATAACTTAAACAAAAGAAAGAGAATTGTTAGTGGTTCTAAATTTATTAATTTTTTTAAAAGATTTCATGAAGTTAAAATATGACATTGAATATTATAAATAAAATATGCTGATGCTGTCACTTTATCATTCTTTTATTTGATATTCTCTTCTTTAAAAGGAAACGAAAACTTTGTATTATTATTACACTACCCCTAGTCCTTTCCTTTTAGACTGGAAGTGACGATTAAAAATCTGTTTTTGTTTTATTTTTAACAAATTAAGATAAATAAATGCTTTAAAAATTGAGAGAGGAAAACGTACAATATACTAGTATGCAAATTTTGCAAAACTGGATTAAAGCAAAGTCGTTCATTATTTGGTAAATGAAAATGTACACCTCACAACATTTTTCACGCATAAGTCAATATCTATCATCATGGAGATTTTGTGTTTAAAATAATTTAAAGGCTATCGTTGCATGTCCTTGTACCCCTTACAGTTTTATGAAATCTCTTTGAAAAATCGCTCAAGCAAAATAATTCTGTAAAAATCAATATTAAATATTTGTAATAAGTGGATGAAATGTTTGATCTTATTGCAACAAGTGGATCCTTTGATAAACGACAAATAACGGAAAGAATATAACAAGTATATACAGTGCATCCAACGTAATAATATCAATTAATAGAGTACAAATGATATTTGTCCAAATAATTGTTAAAAAACCCATTATAGTTTCCACTCTTAAACAATGATCTGTATAGCATAAACGGTCTCTTCCTCTTTCCATCTGTCACACCTGTCTTTATGTATTATTTGAGAGGATTAATTAATATGAAGAAAGAATTTTGAAAAAAAAAAACTAATAAAGTGATGATATATTTATTTAGTTCAGAAATCATATAGAAAATTAAAGAGACAAATTGAAAAAGCAACAAATATCATGAAGAATGTCCCTCGATGTGTGATTGTCGTCTGACCTGTAAATATATATAAATACATATACTTTTTATTAGATACTACATGTATTTTTGTGAAAGCCTTACAAAGTTTGTAGAATCAAAACAAGGCATTAAGAACTTTATATTGATGTATACATGGTTTAAAGATTAAAGGATGTGATTATGATCCAATTGTAAAAGGAGTGAATGAATGAACGCCGTAACACTGTAAATGAAAATTCCAAAGGCAAATTGTTCTTTTTTCTGTTTATGTGCAAGAGGTTATCTTTCTTATATTCGGTTACAAGGTATAAGACCTGAATGTAGTCAGCGAGATTTTCCATCCATATATTCAGGTACATTTGAAAAAAGAAATGAAATTTTATACATTTGCAATTCAAATTGTCTAGACATGTATTTTTTTTTACTCATTTCAAACTCATTTATAATGCTCTCAAATGTTATTTTTAAAACAAACTCTATGTTTATCATGTATTAATTTATAAAGAATAAGAAATTATTTCATTGATGCATCATGTGTACAGCGTGTTCGTAACACATACGAAAATTCATTATGAAGCATATTCATGTTATTTTTTTTTTCAAATAAAATGTGTATTTGTAAGAATTTATCCATTACGATTTATACAGTAGGTGTATCTAGTATGGGTAAAGAATTTTCGATTTATCAGTTTATAATTATATATTACGATAATCAAGTTTGATTGGAACACATCATTTCATAGCATAAAAGATTTAGTTTATATTGTATAAGTTGCCTACGTCACAACGAGTAACGTAAAAATTGTAATAATCTGCTTGATGTTACTTTTAAAATATGCTCAATTTGAAGACACCTTTGAAGGAAAAATTGTCTTTTAGTCTATACCGAATGACGGAAAAATAAATTATAAGGAATGTATTTAATAGCTTCCAAACTTATACTGGTTTAACATGAGTTAAAAATTTTTTAAATTTATAAAGCGAATGTATTTAATAGCTTCCATAAACTTAAACTACTGGTTTTTTTAAAAAGCATGAAAGCATTTACGAAAGAAATGTTCAACGCTAATTTTATAACCCCCTTTGTTTGAAAGATAAAAGCCGCGTTAATTTATAAAGCGTACATTGTTTATTTCCCATCCCGTTTCCTCTAAAGTATATAGTTTTGTTATAACTTTGAGCTTTTGTTGCGTTAAAATAGCCTTTTCGAATTACCAATTTGTTCGTAATATGTGCTGATTAATTTTAAAGAACAGATACAATAACAAAATCATGTTCCTGTTTTACTATAATCACATTGTTTAAATGTATAGGGAGGCCCTTGGAATAGCCCGCTTAGCTATAAAAACCGACATTCATCAGCAACTTGATGCAATTTACAGTGGAAAAGACGACACATCGATGAAAGCATTTTGAATTGTTCAAGTTTGATACGTTTTTCTGAAAATTTTTTGATTTTCTGATTTATGAAATATTTATTCCTTTATAAAGTCGGCAATAATCGTGGTAGAATTGGAGATAATTTAATTGTGCTTGTAACACGTTCTTTTCATGAATAAAAGATTTATTTTATATTGAATAACTTAAGTTGTCTACGTCACAACGAGTTCTATCAAAAACTTAGTAGTCTGATTGACGTTACTTTAAAAAGGTGTTTGTATAGGAAGAATTGTAGTATTGTCTATACCTAATGGTTAAAATTTAAATTATATTTAATGAATTTAACAGCTACCCAAAATCATGCTTGTATAACATGGTTTGGAACAGTTTACACTTTTCTAATAAACCGCTTCGCGTTTTAGAAAGCGTAAAGTGTCCAACCCTTATTGTACAGTTTAACTTGAGTAGCTATTCAATTCATTCCATAGATGTAAAGAACGAACAGTATTTGAGCTCAAATGCCCATTGAACAATACAAAACAGAAGCGGAGCAAACATTGATCTCCAAAACTTAAGAGGTTGGACCATGACCTTTAAATAATTTGTTCTGTAAAGATACATACCATTGTTACAAGTAATGCCTTTGGTCAAAGGTTTCATCGAGGCTTCCAGGTAAGAACGTATATAAGTTGCCGCTTTGCCACCACACAGAGTCTGGGCCCTGTCCTCAATACAGGCCAAAACTTTCTTTAACACGCTGTGAATTTCATATAATAAATTTTAAACCTTACATTTTCATGAATATAAATTTAAAACTTTCTTTAAACATCCAAATTTTTAAGAATCATTTTAAACATAGTCTTATGAATAAATTTCAAAAGTTTTGAAACATCTAAATCTTATTTTTGTTTCAATAAAATAAGCTATGTGATAAATGAATCGAATTTATGGGTCTCAACATGCTTTTTTTTCATGTTTTAAATTTTTTTTTTGAAAATTGCCTTTTGCATCTGCTTTATACACCTCTGGAAGGAAAATACAGCAAGTATTTTAATATTGCAGCAAACCATGCGTTTCCTTTACATGTATAAAAATCATTGTGTTATTATGTTTTACATGCATTCTTCACTGGAAGCATCAGAACCAGCTTTGCGTTTGCTTGCTTTGATAAGTTCTGGATAGAATTTCTTACAAGACTGCAAATTGTTATGATCTCCCGCAAAGTTGGTCATCATACAGTGAAAGTTATCAATGAATCCTGTTGAACATAGATATTTATTTCAAAAATTTAAACCATTTATTTTTTATATCTGATTTCTGTAATTACAAATGTGAGCAAGATTAAAAATTAATTACGTTCATATTTAAAATATAAAAAAAAGATTTTGTAAATTATTACATTAAGACGGGTCATGAAATGTTTTGCGATTTTTTCATCTTAATTATTCTTTTCACTATTTTATTTCAATATACCAGCAGTACTTATGTTTACAATAGTTTATGTTTATACGCTGTATAGAATAAAACTATGTTTAAGTCTTACTACCTGGTTTCCCTTCTGTACACAGATATTTCACAGCAGAAGTCACCAAATCAGAGGCCAAAGAGAGGCCTTTTGAAGGATAACATCTTTTCACGTCCTGAAAACACGACACTAGCTTCCATTGGATACTGTTTTACAATCAGAAAGAAAAAAAATCAATATCAGGGACATCCTTATAATGAATAGTTGAATGACAAACTTGATTGTTTTGTTGCAAATGTCACATAAAGAAATCAATTGAAAAGTAGAACTGCTTTTGGTCGAGTAAAATCAATCATTTAAAATAAATCTATATACACTAACCTACAATGTTCATCTACGGCTTTTTGAGGATTAAGTGTTTCTATAAAGTCTAATGAACTGATCTTTTGCGTATAATTCAGTATAGATGGCTGCGATACACAATCCTCAAGTCCCGAAAAACTGCACTTTTGACTAAGGATCCCTAAATGAAATTTTAAAAGGTTTGTTTAATCTAAAAATCCTTATACACGTAACAAATAAAAGTTGAAATGTTTGTATTAATTCGATGTTTAACAATGAATTATAAACAATTGAAAACACAGATTTGTGTAGAAATGCCAGTTAACGTTCGTATTAATGATAAATTGTAGTTGCTGACAAAGTCATTTAATCGACAATAGAATGTCAGAGAGATCGCCTTTAAGACTGACTATCTTAACACATTGCAGAAAATGAAAGAATATTAGTATTTTCATTTAGCATTAAGTAGAAATCAAACTGTTCATTTCATGAAAAATTTATTCATATGAGGGCTGATAAAAATGTTCGCAGATCAGATATATTATATGAGTGCACTACATGTGTTTCAAGTAAAACTCACACAAATTCACACTTTCCAATAATAATAGAAGAAATTTGGTGTTTTCCGGTGGTCCTTTAAATTATAGTTATATTATTTAGATAAGACATGTTTCAGGGACGTTTACTTTACGTAGACTTTATGAAAAAAAAAACACGATAATTATACTATTTTTTCAGTTGCAATAGTATTCATTAAACGTCACTTGGCGAAATTTTGAATTTTAAAAATTGGAGGATGTACATTGTATAACACTTTAAAGCCATTTAGAGATAGAAAACGCCTAAAACAAAGCAAAGATTGTGGATGTCATTTAATGTCATAATGCACAAAGGTACAACAATTTATGTATACAGCCTGGAAAATGTCTAAAAATAGACTAAAATGCCCTAGATACTCCTGCGAATTGGCTTCAGATAAATATGACAAAAGTAATCAAATGTTGATCGCTTAATGAAAATGAAGGGCATAAAATTCTTGCTGATCAGTTCCTGCGATACCTCGATCAGTACCGAACTTAAATGAAATAGCAGATGCGCCTATGGATTTTGCATCATTTGAATTCCTTATCTCTTAGTTTCCGAAAAAGGATAAAGGGTATAAATTATTAAGAATATGGAGATAATATAAAGTCAGAGCAGCAGAGGTGGGAACAGGCATGGAACAGTACCTATCCCCTGCCGAGCAGCCACATTCCCCATGTGCTCCCTGCCATGATCGGGAAATAACAGAAAGATCTGTCGTCAATTCAGAGTATGGAGAATGGACAAACAATTGGTATGAAAAACGTTAGTCAACATTTGACTCAATGATAATATGCCTTGAAATAGATACTTAATTTTAAAGTAGAAAAAATTAGAAAAAGTCAAAAGAAATGAAAAATATCAAAAAAGTAAAAGCTAAACAGGATGAAAATTGTGTTCACGTCACTTAACGTCATGTTATTGCTCCGTGAACCATATGACCGCATAGTAACAACCGCTGTTTTGAACATTACCACAATTTTTTCTTAAATTCAAAATATCAGCATTGTCACAATAATATTGAAAGGTCTCATAAAGATATGTCAAACACAAGCTAGACCAAGATATAGCAGTTTTCAAAATACGTGCGAAAAAAACATGTCAGAGTTTTATATCTGACAATCAGCCTGTGTGGAGGAAGGATGTTTTTTTTCAGGTGAAATGTTTACTACTACATTTACCAAACACAACAATCCGCAAGCGATAATAAAGTGTTTTTTTAATCTGTAGGTATATAATTCATATTTCAATTGTGACAATTGGGCAACTGCCCGGTAGGGTTGTTTGCTCTTACATGACAGCTGGTCCAATCTCTGATGTTTCGGAGGTGCGTGTTTGCTCTGCTCCTAATTTGTGTTGTATCGACCTTTGATCTTGAATACTGTTCGCTATCGCCGAATATTTCATTGTAACTGCTGGTAAATGTCTGCTGAATATTCGTCCGAAATTTGAAAATAATCAGGGAGACGATCGATCTTTAAATATTCAATGTTCCAAAAATTGGTTTTAATTATCCTTTTATGTTCATTTCCATGATGAAAACTGTGTTCAATTATGCATTCAAGTGAAGAGAGGGGATCCCCTACTAAATTAGATAGCCAGAAACAATCGAGGTTTTTTTTTTAAAATTTCGAATCATTCCGTTCGCTTTCATTCAACGTAGAAATTGGTCAATCGCGTTTTACAAATAATCAAACACATCTGGTGGTCAGTGCATTAATTTAAAAGTATGAAATTTTAATTGTTATTCGAAAAAAGTTAGAAATTTAAAAATTGCAGAATTATTGAAGAAATCTTTGATTAGCAACGTATTAATTGTAAGTAAATAATAGTAATAAAACAATATATTATAAATTAATTTACCTGACATAATTGCCAACGATACAAGTAGAAAATATTCCATGCTGACTTATTTTTGTAAATTAATATGTATGAGTGGTTTTTTTTTATATAGGAATTGCAAAATTTCACTCGGAAAAACCAGAATATCATTACAAACCGACATGCATGATTGCTTAATGCGCAATATAACATGTCACTCATTTAAAAATTTTAAAATATTTATTTGAAAATATGCCTATTGTTTTAAGTTCAATTTCGTGAAACCAAAAAAAAAAAAAAAAATGAAATAAATATAAAATTTTACATAAAAAAAGTCTAAATTTCTTACGACATATTTGTATCACTAGGCATTCAACCTCTGACGAAAGGTTAAAATATAAGTTTTCTCTTTAAATAAATGAACTGCAGTACAAAATTATCAATAAGAATGAAAGTCATTGGCACTAAAATGAAATTGAATATATTCTGAATATATTCATATTAAAATTATTGAGATTTATTTTGCATTTATTCGGGAGGATTACAACCTGAAAAATGGGTAGCAACTGTTCCTTCGCCATGCGCTCGGCACTTTGAAGTGAAAGTTGCTCCTGGATGAGACCTTAAAAACCGAGGCCCCGTGTCAGCGGCAGGTTGGCACGATATTGCTCAATGGCCCTGAAAATTATTCACCGGCATATGGTGACGTTTATTTTGCTACACAATCAATCAATCACAATCTTAAGATATATTTTATTACATTAATTAACATTTGTTAATACAATAACTGGAATATCAAAATAATAATTACTTTTTAAAAAGTGTCCTATATTATCAAATGACCGAATTGATTGATTGTTGTTTGAGTTTTTTCGAGAAGTTTTCACTCAAATATATGCCGGTATAGAGCTTCAATTTCCAGAAAAGTGAATTTAAAAATACTTGTGTCATTGATGTCATAAGGGGGTGGATGCTTTTTTTTTTATAATGAAAATGAATTAGTGGTCGATCAAAGATGCCTTTTCCAAAGTTGTGATATGTGGAGCCTAATAGGGTTCCTATGGGTGTTAGCTAGGCTACTACTGATTATTGCTGAGTATTACTAATAAGTTGGGTTGAAACACATTTTTGTTCCCTTATTCTGACTGTGGGTATAAAGCAACCAAACTACATGTAAGCATGACCAGTGTATAGTTATGATGAGCAATACTGCTTCTTTCAAAAGTGTGAATGTCATTGCCTCTGGTTTAAAACACAAACTAAATTCAATTGTGGAAGTTGTTTTATGATGCTGCTCAGATAACCCACATGTATAAAGCCAATAAGACTTTGCAGTTTTAAAAAAAATATGCAGGAGTGCATAAACTGTTGTGAATATAATTGCACAATGGAATTTATGATAATTGGGATTGATAATGATGAAAAGGATTTTTGGAATTTAAGTCAAACTTAAGGACAGATGATACAAACAAACTTTTCTCAAAGAATTTGAAAATAACAAGTGGGGTCATGTTTAAATCAGTAAAATTAATAACTTTCTCCGAGTACTTTAATTCTAAATTCAAATTTGCATAAAAATGGAATTTGAAGTGAAAAAATATTTGTATGGATTAATAAGGATAGTTTAAGGAGGACAGACTTTTGAACATCACAGAAGGTTTACAATTTCTTAATATTCTAGAAATTTATCAATAGCATCATTTGCAATTAAATTATGCCAAAAATATATACCAATCCAGGCATCCATTTTTTGTTTGTATCATCTGTCCTTAAACGCCGATATCACAGTATAAGAAATCAAAGAATACCTTTTCACAGGTAATATACCTGTTTAATATGAAAGTCCAATTGTTTTCTTTCAAGTGAGATGAATAAAGAAAATACTCTACCAATCATGTGATGCCTACTTCTATTTCAATCGCTTAAAGATTGTTCCTTTTGCATAAAAGATATAACTATATCGGGTCTATTGCATGATATTACTAAATTTACATGAATAATTTGACTAAGTTGTATATCGGCTAATCCGAATTTTCTCTGTTTTTCTTATTTTTTTTAAAGCATATATTAGTTATTTTCATATGCTTCGGATTCTATATTTAACTTTTTCTTATTTTCACATATAATAAAGCTGTCTTATAAATGTTTAAAATGATACAAAAACCAAAAAAGTTTTGATCGTTTACTAAGAGAGAAAATATACATTTTATGGATTTTTGGCTCAAATCTGTACTTCAATTGGAAACGTAAATAGTTCTAGTTTGTTTGAAGAATCATATTGATTTGATATATTTTGAAAGTTTAATCCCTTATTATTATTTTAACTTAAAATGGAAAATTTCTTCATATCCTTGATTGTGTAAAATTTTCATACGGAACCATTCCGCCAAAAATATAGTCGCTGTTATTTTTCAAACATATTACGGAACAAACAACTGATTTTTACGTTAGCTTAGAATGCTTAAAGCAATAACAGAGATTGTCCAAGAGTTCTAAAAATATGTATGTTTTCTTTGAGCTTTTGAAAAATTTGTACTGACTTTGGGAACATCAACCCCAGCCAGCTGAATCATCCGTATCCATGCAGTCCTCTCATTTCCCGTCCGCTTGATTCATTCCAGATTTAAAAAAATTGTACACTTAACTTTAAATAGTTATTCGATCTTACCAGATGTAAACATTAATACTTCCTTGACCACGGTTGTATTATTATTATTGAGCGGCAAATTTGAACTAATAAAAAGCAGAAAAATGTTATACCCATGTTATGTATTTAATAACTTTAAAATTCAATTTAAAAAATGACACTCATTTTTGGCCAAATTATTCGATATAATCTGGTTTGGGTCAGTTCACTTCTAATAATCAGCTTCACGGATTATAAAGGGGACTTTAAAGCGGAAAGGGGAATTTTCAGGTCAATCTAAACTAATCATGTTTTACGTTGTTATATAGTAAAAGCTTAAATTTGAGTAAAAAAAATTAAATCGAGATGTTTAAGAAATAAAAAAAAAGTGAAATGATTTTATTTATTTCTATAAAATTTTGTCAAAAATCATTCATAAAATATATTATATAAACAAATTATCAAAGTAACAAATATCATTACAGATGTCCACTGTTGTTTAATTGTTGTCTGACCTGTAAACAAGAAAAATCAAATTAAATGAGAACAAGCTTTGTATATAAAGATCATCACTAACATGACTATGTTATTAGGTATTATTTTTTTTAAGGTAAGTCACTCCTGAAATTTGTTATATCAAGGATTTTTTGAGAAGTATATTTTGGATAAGTACTCATAAAGTGTAACTCAAAATCGCAAAGAAAATAGGAGGTCAGTGTGCATCCTACTGATCTACGGTACATTTACGTTGACCTTTTTGCACTTAAATTTCATCTCTTTGGTTAATTACTTTAACCCTTATAATATTTGATTAGATGTAAGCATGGCAATAAATATAATCTTATTTTACGTAAACAAGTTTGAATAATATTTATCATTAAACAAATCTTGCAAATTAATGCGCGTAAATTATTGTGTGACCTTTTTGCACTAAAAAATAGCATATTTGGGGTATTAGAAAACTTAATAGGCTATAAAAAAATTTCTTATATCAAACTTTTTACGACTTGAGTGCTGATCAGTCACAAGTATCGAGTAGTTTAAAATAATGAAAGAAAAAGGTGGGGTCAGTGATGTTAATTTTGAAATATTTGTCAAAATATGTGTTTTTCAGGCAAAAAATGGTGTAAATTTGACCTTGACTTGTTCAATATATTTTCATTTTTTGGAAAAGTTTGTTGAGGGAAGTTGTAAAACTTAGTCTAAAACTATAAATTAAGACCTATATTAAATATATTTAGCAATATCAAAACGGAAAATATCCTCCGAAAAAGTAAAAAATTTCCATTACATTAAATTTTATAAATGTGCAGATTTGCGGAATTTTCTGCTAAATATCCTTCCACCAAAAGAAATAGTCCCTCATAAATCTTGCTTCTTTGTAGATTTTTGAGCAGTTTTTTCATTGAATGTTAAAAAATTTACATTGTTGAATTTAAATATGTAATAAAATTTGACTTTAAATAAGTAGTTTTGAAGTAAAAGCTTCTGCGTTAACTTTTCTAAAAAGTTGAGGAGTGTCTTACCTTAACTGTTTGGGAGTGTGAATTAAATTATGAAATATAACAAAAAATACACAACATTACTTTTTTGTATACTCAAGTGTCCATGAGGTAAGTAATGCTAATAAATATTCTAGATGTTGATAAGCTTTTATTGAAAAAAAAGTTTTTTTCCGTCTGTGTGCTCAAACAACAAAATAACATATTTTTACCTGAATAAAATGAAATGAAAAGAAAAGATTGGTATCTTAGAACATTACCGATATATACAGAAAGCAATTGTTTTTTTTTTCACTAACTATACATGGAATATTTATTAAAAATTATAACATACATACCATTGTTGCATGTGACACCTCTCATTAATGGTTTGATTGTAGCTTGTAAATAAGAGCGAACGAATGGCACTGACTTCTCACCACACAGTTCTTTTGCTTTAATGTCCATACAACTTGTAACTTTTTCTGATATTCTGTAATTCATACTGTATTATTAAACAACCTGTATATACCATGTTAATTGTTGTCAAATGTTTACAATTTAGAAGTCTACAATTTAGGTTCCGATCCAGTAAATTTCTGGATTAACTCTCGATGGGTTTTGGTCTCTGTTAGAAATCCAGCAATTTGTATTGACTGTAAGGGTGTGACGTAAGCTTTGTTGATCTATCAGATGGCATTTGAAATGATGTAACCCAAATAAGCAAATTCAGTTAAAGAACACAATTTTTTTTGTAATCTTTACCCTGCATGGGCCATTCCAACTACCCTTGCACAATCTTGTGCATTTATGTACATATTGAACTCGCAAATCCTTTGCATAAAAAGGTAATTCTACATTCAATTACGGTTTTTTGGGCCTTGACAAGTAAGCATTGTAGATGTGTAAGTTCATTGTGACTTGATGTTTAATGTAATAAAAAAATAGAAAAATAAAAAATAGAACATGAAAGTTTGATAGGAATAAATATTAATATTTTTACCTGCAAATTTCATCAGAAGCATCAGAACCTGTTTTGCTGTCTCGCTTTTCAATAAGTTGTGGAATAAATTTGAAACAGGACAGTATAGCTGTTTGATTAACTACAAATTTGGTCATCATACATTGGAAAATTTCAATAAATCCTTTAAAAAAAGAGAAAAAGTATACATTAATAACAAAACTTATATGTTTCAATTTTGTACGCTTCTCTCTCTCTCTCTCTCTTTCTTTTCTCTCTCTCTCATTTTTCCTTTTGTAAAACCATGGAAAAACAATATATACCAATATGCTTAAAATTTATATATTAAAAAAACAGAATTCAAGCTGAATTTAAATGGAACAATTCAAATATAGAGCAGATAAAAAATGAGCCTATTTGATATCAGAGGAGGAATCAGATGGTACGAGGGAGTAAACTTTTACTACCGACCGGCCACATTTGCTCTCAACCACAATGTAGGGCATAGTGATTACTATTCTATTAACATAGAAAGAAAGTTAGAAAGAAAGTTATAATGACTTCAATGGTCAACTTTTTCTTTATTTAGCAAGATATCCTTATGAATGGCATATGTGATATAAAACGGAAGCAACTAACAAACTGATAAAAATGATAATTTAATAAACATAATGACCTTAACAGCAAGTACAATCCTATATTTAGTCGAATGCTGACTTACTCTTTTCCACTAAGTGCAAAATTGTTATTTCCCCCAGTTTAACCATCATTGCAACTATCACAGTTTTGTCCGGTCGATACAGGGAAACTAACTCCTTCACGCCATTTAATGCTAAATCTTGATATTTTTAACCCGAGTTTGTTCTGCTCTCTATCAATTTTGTTTCGATGGAGTTCATAGCATGTTTGTTGTTCGGCATCACCATATTTCATCTAATTAATTTCAGTGAATTATTGGAATAAAAAATTGATACAGTATTCATATCTTTTTTAAGGTCTCACAATTTTGTTCTTTAAACAAAACGGTTTGAATTACGAATCTCTTACCTTGCTTTCCCTCCGAACATAAGAAGCCTCCAGCACTTACGGTTGTGTCTATAGTGAGTGTTCTTGGTGATTTACATGAAATCTTATTGTCCTTTACACAGTTACTTAATTCTTTTTGAAAACTGTAACGTAGGCGAAGATATATTTAAAAATTACAATTTAGTCGAATTGTAAACATGGACTGTTTATAATATAAGATATATAAAATTGAAGTTCAGAAGTGAAAGAATATCCCAATATATGCAAAGGTGGATGATAGAGGCATCTTTATACATTTAATGATTTTCTGATCAAGATAATTTTCAGAAGATTTCATTTTCGAAAAATCCTTAAAATCCTATAATGTGTTTCAACTAAAATGGATATATCACACTTGCCCACAAAATTTATCTAATGTGTATTCAGTTTTCAACACCTCCATATCTTGTGATTTCAACATTTCTGCGATTTCTTGGAGAGGGACTTTCTCAATGCATTGCATAATTCTTGTAGTATCACATTTTTCAGAGACTGTTCCTGGAAAGAAAGTAACTAAATATATGTGTGATGCATGACAATCACACCAACATACATGTAAATCGTGTACACATAGCCTGCTTACATTTGTAACAAAAATTCAAAATGGTTGTAAAAAACTGCCCTTGATAAGAAAATGTTTTATAGCATACCAATGTGAAATAGTATTTAGAATTATTATTTTCCCTACCTGATACGATGGCAAACGATACAAGAAGGATAATACATGTGCCATTACTACTGATTTCATAATTATAATCCAAGTTGAATTAATTGTATTATATGGGTAATGCTAATTTCACAATGGAAAAACCCTTACGGTTTGTGTGTACCGACAGATATGCATGACTGCCTCCACACGTCAGAAGGTGTGTATCAGAGGAATTTACAATGTTACAGATATGCAGATGACTTGGTCAAGGACTAGTAATTAAATCTTTTAATGCTAATGTAATAAATAAAACATTCTTTATCGAAACTTTTGATTAGTTAATTAATTAATTGATGGGCACATAAACACATTTTGTATGCTTTGTTCTAGTATTTTTTTTTTTATTTAAAAAGCCCTTTTCTGTAATTTTGTTTTTGCTCTCCCTCCCTCCCCCCCCCTCTCTCTCTCTCTCATTTTACAGAAATCATGATCCGCCTGACACAATTGTTGAAGTGTCTGTTCTTTAGTCGCGCAGTATAAATGTTGGCTTCAAGTTTTTCCTTTACAATTCAAAAGTAAAGAAATATCCCGATGCTTAGTCGTTTGTTTTGACCGACAGAATCTCTTAACTATGTTCAAATATTAAAATGGTCACCAACTCACGTAAGTGTCCGCTTAAACTTCTGTATTTTTGTTGAAAGTATCTTCAGTATGATTTTTTTTCTGTCCCTTACCATTGTCAATGTCAATTGGAACTGGGTCAAACCTATACAATTATCGGTCTTGAAAGTTGGAAGCATATACTAATAACTTCATTTTATTGCATGACCATTTGTTGGAACGAACATAATGTTTGAAAATCGTTTCTTTTTTTTCATGCATTTGTTTTACAAGTTCGTGTTCATATGGAAAAGATCCTTCCATGGCTTTGCTTACATGGTACATTCCTGATAATGTTTCTGCTTTAGCGCATTTTATACGCTTCAATAATGAATGAAAATGCATAAAAGTACGGTTTTAGACAGCTTTAATCAACGGCATTCGTTGCCGGTATTCTAAATGTAGTGCTTAAGTACTAGTTTTTTCACGGCTATCTATTTTTTTTTCTTTCAGATACAGGTTGCAGGACACGAAACTTTATACACACCCAAATCTTCACGCATCCATGTTTATTATTGAAATTAATGCTTCCATACTTTTGAATGCAGTGTTAATTACAAGTAGCTGGGATGGCGGTGGGGGGTGTGTGGGGGTGGAGGCTTTAGCCTTTACTTAGTCATGTATTGCCGCACGCAAGTAACTTTCCAATTTTTTTCAAGATCAAATTACAATTACAATTTCAATTTTTGATAGCTTGAGTTTATTTATCTAGATAATTGATTAAGTGTTTACATTAAAAGCTTCACGTAGAGTCAAGCTATGTATTTTAGAAAATAATTGACCATATATACCTTTATATTCAAATATTATAGAAGATCACAATAATATTTAAGAAATTGAAAAAAAGAGAAATATCCATCAACGGATATACGAGGATTTAATTTAATTCCATAGTTTTTGGTCAGAAATCATTCATATGTGTATGTATGTATATAAAGGAATTTATGTGATCTAAATATGTGCAAAATTGCGTATTTTTATTAATAACTATTTTGTGTGAATACATGAGTCCCGAAGGGATTTTCCGGATTTTATACTTAAGAGCCCTTTAGTTATGGCTATTAGCCTTATCCTTATCAAAATAACTTTTGGCTCCGAAAAGGTGGTTTACAAATTTTATACATAAACAAACCGTAAAGGTAAAAAATATCATAAGAGATGTCCACCCTGTTTCATTGTTGTCAAAAATCAAATTAATCAAATGAATTGAAGACAGGCCTTATATATGATAATCAGAAAAAGTCAAGACCGGTCTCTAGCCAGATAAAAATAAATGAAACTTCCATATACTTGTAGTTCAATACATATAAAATATAAGTTAAGAATGCACATTTAAATTAGGTCAGAAATAGCGGTATTAGTGAAACCCTTATGGGATTTTTGATTTAAACCGACTTTATAAAACTTATTAAGATTTGTTATTCTCTGTTTTTGCAAAGAGTATTATAATTGAGCTATGAATCTTCTAACTTAAGGATGCTACCAATTAATATATGATCAACGTACATATATTTTCTAAAATTATGCATTCTATTCCAGCAAATTTTAGATTAGGACAATTAAGAAGATCTAGATGTTGAAGTTATATACTCGTCTTGTTTTTATGCTCATGTAGTGGTAGCTGCAGAAAAACAAAAAATAACATAGATATCAACAAGGCACGCAAGATTGTTTTCGTCGGAGTCAAGCAGGTGATTGAAAATCTGGTCCAGAGTCTAATCACTCCCAACTCTTCACAGTACATAGAAAAATCAGCACGCCCTAAATTTTAATAAATCTGGTCTATGCAGGAAAATTACATGTTGTTTTTCATCTGATAACAAAATTCAGTTCCAGTCTCTTATCAAAATGCCCGAATTAGAAGGGGAGATTCTAGGGATTATTTTGCTTCAGCCATGATTTGACGTGAACCGAAGTGAAAAACTGTTATAACACCTGTGGATCTCTGCTTTATCTGTCCGAATTTTCTCAAGCAGAGAACTACAGTTCTGTAGCTAATGTAGTGGACGACAGCTTCACAAGGTGAGGTGAATAAATCATTGAGATTATGTCAGAAATTGTGACAGCAATGGACATACTGTAGAGGAGACGTTCTTAATTTCTACAGGCATAAGTTAACTTCATTTGAAAAAAAAATTGAATGAAGAAAATCTTTCCAAATTATTAATAACTGATTATGAGTAATAGTTTCCTCGGTGACTGTTAGACGGTTAGACCCTTACAGCTTATCTTCTCCATTGTTTGGCTAAATATATGTATGAATATGAATGAAGAGTTGTAATGTCCAACAGTATGTTCTCGACTCTATGCACGTATTGTTAATCTAGGATATTTGGAAATATGGCGGAATATTGAGACTCAGAGCCACAGTGGATCAACTGCGACGAAGGAACTTAATATACCTGACATAATGGCAAGTGATACAAGCTGGAAATACTCCATGTTTATTTATTTCTATTCATTCTATTAATTCAGGTTTGTTAACTTCATTTCATAGAAAATTGTAAATTTCAGACTGGAAAAACCAGGTTGTGTTCAAAAAACGACATGCATGATTGCTTAAGACAGTGAGGAATAAAAAAAAAAAATAGATTAACACCTCTAATCTGCTTCATTTAATTGATGTGTAGATTGATTGAACTTCATTTGAAGAAACAAGGACCTCTATCTTTCATTTAAAATTACTATTTTTGTGACATATTATTATCTCACACGTTTTCAGCTTGACAGTCTCTGACAAAAGGTTAAAAATAGAAATTTGCTTTTCATTAATTAAAAAGACAGTAAGCATTATTAATAACATTTATATGCAGCGGTCTTGAATTGAAAACACTACACTTACGTGGATATCGGAAAAAGCTTGGAAGCGCCATAAAATAAACACTCCTTAAGGTACATAAACGAATTTTTGAAATATTTGTAAGCAGCATCTTTTCTATCTATAATATACACCTTAAGTCGTAAGTTTTAATTTTTATGAATTTTCGACGTTTTTGTAAGCGATGGTATGTAAAGGCCGCACAACGCAAAGATGACGTTTTTTTCTTCATATGAATTAACTTTTTTAAAATGAGCGTTTGTCATCAAGATTTTCGACATATCAATCACGTATTATTTAAAAATTGTTCCGTAAAATTTACAATTTTTCCTTAATTCAATTTTATCGCAATTTTTCGTAATGAAATATCTAAACAATTAAGGTCTGTTGTAACATGATAGACAGACGATGTCTTTGGGGTTGAAGGGTTAGAGACATTAGACACTGGAGTAAGGAGGAATGTGGCGCGGTCATACAAAATTGATTTCTGGTGAGCAGATGACTGTTGTATAAAGATCTGGAGGTATGGTTACAATTCCTAATCTGATCTACTGTAGATCATTATTTTTTAGCGCCGCCTTTTTAACGCAAGATAGCTATTAGTTATTTAAAACGAAATAAATGTTTAAAACCTTTTTTTTTCAAAACACTTCATGGCATCGTAAAGTATATTAACATACATATGGATTTTATGACGTGGAAAATTGTTGAAACAAAAGACAAAATAGGTATAAAAACGGCTGAGTTATATTAAAACGTTTTTAATTGTCAAAGTTTTCAGTTAACATGCCTCTTTAATAACAAGCACTTATTCTGATTCAGGTTTAAAGAAATACATTTACATAGTTTTTTCTCATTTCTGATGTAATTTCATCAGATTTAAGATACTTTTGCCTTAGAAACCAATTTCACGTGGAATAAAAAAAAGTCATATTTGATTATATACCTTAATATAAAAATCACATTTTTCAA